AAGCCACAAGCCGCCAGTTTCTCCAGGAGAGAAAGGACAACTACATTATTTGTTATCATCAAGAACAGGCCAAGAACATCGAATTAATAAATAGGGAATGTCTGTTGAAATTGTTCCTTATAAATGACTTTGAGGTAGTCACTCTTGCTGCATCTCCTGTTTGTCTACCATCCCTAACAACCCCAAGAAGCATTGTGCATGCCCTTCACAGTATGTGCCCACACATGTTATTAGAACATCACAATTTTAAAACAGAAATGAAATATCATACACCATGATTTGCAAAATACTATTTCAAATGGTATGCTACTATTAGATTTGGTATCTACGAAGAGATCCCAAGCTGAGGCACTTCCCAAGCTGGCTCCAGAACAATAGTTAACTTAAAAATCGTAGCTCTGAAACTAACTGATATGAATAAGTGAGTATTCCTGGAATGCAGCATACTTAATAAACATGCTGAAAATTAAAACATCATTTTAATTCAAAATACCTGAAAAGTTAATGGCAGAAACACAGGTCATCCTTAGGGAATATCTGTAATCACCCTCAGAATTTTAGTAAAGAAAAATATTAATAATTATTAAAAAATACATGATTACATGAGTAAAATGAATCTACTTTATACAGATAAACAGCTATAATAAATGAAAAGATCCTTCAGTCATGACTCACCTGTTCTCCAAAAACATACAAACACACCTTCCTGAATATTACCAGAGAAGCAGGATTATACATAATGATGCTGTAGAATTCAACTTTTTAAAAACTAACTAAAGAAAGAGGAGGAAAAATGAGTAAGTCTGGTGATTTCAACAGGACAGTCCAAACGGATGGTCAATATCCTCCTGCAAACAGGCCTTTGTCATAGGAGAAAGCACAGCAAGGAAGAACATGCATGTTAAAGCAGACCTAAAATTTCATTCGAAAACTGCCATGAAAGTGTGCTTATAGAAAAATTTAGGACAAAACAGATTAATATATTCAGTTACCTCTATACTAAAATAACCTCTGTCTACATAGTCACCGAGGAAGAGGTATCTTGTGTTAGCAGGTGATCCTCCCACTTCAAACAGCTTCATTAGATCAAAGAACTGGCCATGAATATCACCACACACTGCAAGCAAAAATTTTGTTCAAATTAATTAAAAAAAAAAAATTCTAACAGGAAAGTTACTTAGTTATACTTAAGTAAACAGCCACAAAGTACTTCTAATTAAGAGGAAAGGCAGGTGTAAAGCAGGAATAACAGAAATTTCTGAAGCTTCCCCCTTTGTTTTTCATTAAGATGCTGTCCTCACTACCTGTGACAATGCTGCTGATAGCCCTATTTGAGTCTAGCGGATTGGGGAATATTTTTCAAAACACAGTTAATGCACCAAGCATTGAGGTCTCGAAAGCTGTCAGCAAGCTCTCTACTGTCCTCCCCAACCCCTTAGGTACATTTGCAAATTCTCCTTGGTATGCATATTTAAAAATGCCTGCTGCTTCACAACAATTTGCTGTGTCCATGTGGGATTAAAAAATGCAGGGACTATGCTTCTGTTGCAGAGGCAGACTGACATACCTTTTAGCATCGTCATATCTTCTTTTTGCTCAGTTACTTTTCTCCTTCAAACAACCATGTTCACTATTTCAACAATGGATTTTTCTTGTGTTTTTAGAATATGAGACAGAACAAGACCAGTGGTCACCAGCCTAAGGCAGAAGTGCCAAATACAGCAGATGGGAAGACTTTGAAGAGCATACAGCAAAGCCAGGTCACATCAAAATTTAAAAAAAATAGTAATTTTGAAAATGTATGGAAGAGACAACTGCTCCCAATTCCTCATTCCCACAGAAGTTCCCAGCTCAAGGGAAGTCAGGGGCTGCCTTCTTGCTTCTGCATGAGGTATTGTTGTTATCACTATGCCTTCCACTGATGCAAAATTTCACTGATCAACTGACAAACAGCATCTTCCAACGTCTCAGAGTTTATCAGTAATTTTGGGGGGGCAAAAAAGTTGTTCTAATTTTGGAAAGAAATACTGGATATGGCACACAACACTTTAAGGGTTGTTATTCCCTTGGAGCAGACCATTTGTCATCATGACCTACAAAATATTAGACTAAATAGAATATGTCCTCTTTTACGTCACTTTTCTACTCAAACACTGCAAGAACCTTCCTTCTTTTTCAGCTGCCAATATACCAATAGCTCTTGGTAACTACCTGAATAAACAGAAATATAAAAATTCTAAACATATAGACAATAGTGTAGTTTTGAGCTTTATCTGGAGCTCCAAAAGACTGAGTTCAGACAGTCACTCAGTGCTTCCCACAATTTCAATCATTCATTTAAAAAAAACCACATCAGTAATAATGATATACTGTTTAAATGTTTTAATTTACCTGATACAAACAAATTAAAGCAAGCTAATGCCCTAAAAAAAGCTTTTCAGACACTGATTTTATGTAGGTCCACTTAGAAGAAAACATGTACAAATGAAAGAAAATCTGATTTGAACACAAAAATCAAATCTACTTTCATTATCGTAAGTAACAGATAAGCAACATAAATGATTTTCTACGAGTCTGGATTGTTTATAAAAAAACTACTAATGAACACCAATTCCACCTTTCTTCAGGAGAAACAGAACTAATCAAACCATGAAAATATTCCAAAAACCCCTAAGTGTCAGTTTTGTATTACAGTGGATCTGGTCCCAGTGTGTTAAAGATGCTGTAACAATCTTGTAACACTTTCCAGTACTACTATTCTCAAAAGAACACGTGCGGTGTTGACATGCAACTGTCAGTCTCACCTACAGAGGAACTATAAATGTGTATTTTTCCCCTCAGAATTCCAGTTCACAGTATTTGCTTCAAACGACAGCATTTAGGTTCCTTTCACAAATTTAGATTTCAGGATAATTCTGAGTTCATTTTTCTATTCCAGGGAGATGTCTTTATTCCCACTTACAACATTGCAGGAATTAGAAATCTGGAATTTATCAGCATTTATCTACCTTATATTCTGTAATTTTAATACCAATCACACTATTTTTTTCCAACAGGTTTAATGTCTTCATTTTGAAAAATAATGTGCAGCATATTTTTTCAGACCATTTGAGTACTATTAAGCAAAAGCAGTTGTGAGGGATAATTCAGTAAGATTATACAGAAATTTTATTTTAGCAATTTTTAAGACAAACTCTACTACTGAAAAAATCTGGCTTTTTTCAAATTTGATTATGAGTGAAATTATCTAGAAATATTACCTGTAATTGGAGCTTCAACTTCTATCATAGTTTTTTCCCTTCGTAATATTGCAGCACCCTCATTGATGATTCTAAGTGCAATTTCTTCATCTACTCGACCTTCTTTTATCAAGTGGTTCTTCAAAATGTCAACCCTTGGTCTTCCATCTGTGTCAAACACTTCTTCAGATGTCAAGCGATGCGTTGGTGGAAAAGGTACAGCTAAAATTTAAAAAGAAACAGTAGTCACAACAATGCTATTTAAAAAATATACTCCATCTAAGACTGAATCTATCATGGAGTAGCTGCTACCCCAACTAGCAAATCTGTCTTTCAACCAACCAACTTGATGACATCATTAAAAGCTGGATGGAATAGTGCTACCTCTGTATGTATCAAAAAAATTAACATCTATAATGTGCAAGTTTGTAGAAACTACAAAACAGAGTTAGAAAGCGCAATAATATGTACAACATTTCGAAGAGTCAAAACTGCCTTTGCAAAGGGACATAATCTCTCTCATATATACTGGCATTCTCTGAAGGACTCAACTATTGGGGATGCAGGAGGTCCATTTAATATCCACTCAGACTTGCAAAAGGCATTTTAAAAGAGCCCATCATCGATGTCTCAAAAAATCCCCCAATCAAAGAGAAAAAACCCAAACAAACCCAAAGGCAGCAAGAAATGGATAATATACTGTTTAAAGGACTAGAAATAAAAGGAGGTAATAGCCAGCACCTGGAAAGGAAGGTGATCACAGGAGAAGCCCCACTAGAATCTGTGCTATTGAACAAATTCATAAGTTACTGAAAAGAAGGTAACTCATGGAGTGATGCAGCCTTCAGCTGACAGTAAGTATTCTGGACGATGACGAATAGGGCAGGCTAAGAACTATACAAGTCATTCATGCTACTGAGTGACTCAGCAAAATATGGTGTATTAAATATTAATAAAGGCAAATTAATGAAGTAAATCCTAACTTTACATTTAAAATTCACAGATTATAAAATTACTCTATTCAGAAGCAAGGTCTCTCCTATAGTTCTAGGAAAGTATTCGACACTGACAAGTCAAAGAAACACAGAAAACGGAACATTAAGAATTATTAGCAAAGGAATAGAAAACAAAAGAAGATGCAATTATGCCACTGATAAATCTAGTATGCAACTCTGGTTCGCCCACCTTATAAAGGAGAAAGAATAACTAAAAAATAGGATTCAAGGAACAATAATGGAAATCAGTAAGTTAGAATGACTTCTGCTACAGGAAGAGCTAAGTAGACTAGGACTCTTCAGCCTAAAACCATGAAAACTAAGGGGGTCTAACAGATGTCTATGACTGCATTAATGGAGAAGGTGAAAAGAGAGCAGCACTCGCTTGCTCTTGGCCCCCGAGTGGAGAAAGGAGCAGGATGGCCTCTGCCAGTTTGAAGTTCTGTCAAACTACTGACTGAGCAGCAGGACAAGTTCATACTATCAGAAAAAAAAAAAAGTAATATTGGGAGCATACAACATTGCCATTGTGGGTTGAAATTTCTTCTTTGAGCTTGTTTTCCTTATTTTCCTGTTGTGCTATCTCTAAAAAGATTAAACTAAGAGTAGAGGCTGTTCATATACCAGAAACAACTTTAGAATTTACTGGAAGTATCAGAAGTCCTTGGATCCTGGCTGGCTAGTCAAAAGCGCCATATGTGATCCGTACCTTAAAGAAGTGGAGCAGATGAGAGGCCTGAGGCTGGGGTCAAAACCAGGCTCAGCAACTGCCCAGACAGCACATTTGATGGATGGCAGTTCACATGAACAATGGCAGTTCACATGAACAATGGCATTTCACATGAACAATGGCAGTTCACATGAACAATGGCAGTTCAGTTACTGCAGAAATGAAATAGGGATGTGGGACATGGGAGAAGAGGATACATCAAATTTGCCACTAAGCAGTGCATCAGAGTATCATCGCCATCACGCACGATTACAGGAAATAAAGCTAACAAGGAAAAAAACCCACAAAACATACCACTACCGAAAGAATGAAATAAAAGGGAAAAGCAGCAAAACCATTTAATTTCTCTCCATTTAAATATTATTTCAAATATGTTTAAAAAGAAAAATTGGAAAAATACACCTATTCAAAGATGAGAACAACTAGTAGTACGAAGATGCCTGTAGATAGATGATTCATACTTTTATTTTCTTACTCTCCCAAGTTAAACTTTACATTCCAAAAATCAATGCTTAAATACTAACGTTCACTGACTTAATTTAAATTGACTTCTAGATTACGAACAACATATTGCTACCCTTCCGTTTCATGCAATAACAAAATCTATCAATGAAACAACTGATGCATAAATCACATACATATATTCACTAAAATTAAATTATACTAGAAAATAAACTGGAGAATTGTCTGTTCTTCCTTTTATAAAAGTTTTTAAGTAGGAAGAAACTGAAAAATATGCCTTGACATTACATGGTGTAGAACAAATTTGGCATTTTATTTTTGGACATAAAGTATTTTATTAACAGAAAAGAAATGGCATGCCTTTCCTTCCAGTCTTCTCTAGTAATGATTCAAGTTTCATTTGGAAGTGTTAAAATTCCATGTAGTTCAAATGTTAATAAACTTAATGTATTTAAGAAATCAAAAGACAACCACTTCTGTTCCATGCACAACTATTGTTTAAAACCATAAATTTATCTCTGAAAAGAGAAATCCATTCTTCTAACAAGATAAATCTAACTAATTTTTAGAAGCACTTAATTATGACCATGCAAGCATCAATTCTAGCATTCACTGGTTTTTTTTGAACTTAACTTTCCAACCTTCATATTCTCTTAATGTTACTTTTGCATTATTTGGAAGTTTATATTAAGCTGCACATAAACTAGTCTTAGGTCATTTCTTCCCTCATTTTTTTCAACACATTATTTATGGGCACACAACTGCCTTCAGCAATGCAAAGTTGAGCTCATCCTTTTAGGACACCAGACAATTCACAAAGATTTCTTCTGCTTTAATTGTTGCAAAAGCATTAGAGAGCATACCTTCTCAGAACCAAAGTCAATCACCTCCAAGACACAAACTTACTGAGGGAGCACTCAATTCCCTCTAGTAATACTAGTAATACTAGTTCTAGTATTACTCCTAGATAACGATCTACTTAGTTTTGTAGGAATTATGCTTCATTAAGTTCTAGTATTACTCCTAGATAATGATCTACTTAAGTGAAAGATGACCCTTTTTTCTTTTTGGAGTTTTTTTGGGTAGATGCAAGGTGTGGTAGAGAACAGTCTGTTGAGGTGATCAGCTGTTTTTCATCCTCTTATGGGCAAATCATTACTGACTTCTTACAATTACCAATGGCTGCAGAATTCAGAAAGATGGTGTTGACCTCTTCCTTATGACAGTTCAGAAATATTTCAGGGGTTCTAAGCACATGGCAGATGAAATTTTCTTCTCTTAATAAACCTCTGTCCACGTAATACATTTCAGATCAGATATGTACAAAAATTAATTCTGTCTATTATAAAACAAACAGCTTTGAGTTTGTCTAGTAAGTTACATTTTCTGGGAGGCTATAAAAACAGATGTTTCTGTCCAGTGTCTGGAAAGAACTGTCTCAAATTATTTGAATTAATATACTTACGAAGTTTCAAATTAAAAACTGTATATCCCGGTGTTATCCATAATGTCCAAAATCATGAGTGTTAGTATCAGAAGTAGTTAAGCATCTATAGTTATATTTGCCTCATGAAAAAAATGAAGTCTTAGAACTAGTTCCTCAGATTTTAACGAAATCCTTTTCACACAATACATGTATTTTCCTGTTGCTCAAGAAGGATTCTTTTTTTTAGAATAATCTTCAGAGAAGGCAGAATAAAACATGGCTAAAGATTTTATCTGCATCACCCAGCTGAATAAAACAGTAACACTATAAAAGTTGTTTCTTTCCATTTTATACTTTAATTTTTGTCTCAACAATAGTTAATTATATTAGAGCTCATACCTTTGAAAAATATTACAAATAACATCTTTTAATAGGTTAAGGATGATAATTTTTGAAGCATGTAGACAATTTCTGCAAACTAATGGGTTTAATTAAACCTTTGATGAAGTAGTAATAGAATGTTATAGCCTAAGGAAAAAGAATTGCAGCATGATTCTTCCAAGACAGAAATATAATCCATGTTTCAAAGTCTTTGTGCATAACCTGTGCTCTTGGGACTGTAACGGAATGGTAATTAAGAGGAATTACCCTAAGGAAATAACACGGTGTTGGTCATTAAAGGATTCCCTTCTTCCATTCCCAGCAAAGCTAAGCAATAGAAAACCATTTAGAGATTAATCTCTAAAGCAACACACACTGCAGTACAAAAGAACAGACTACATCCTGTTAGTAAAAGTATAGATCTTAGTAACAAAGATAACACATCATGATTTACAACAACATATGAGATTTTCTAAAACAAACTGTGGCTTACTAGTCAAAAGTAATCAATTTCACTTTTAAAATATGTAGATGATATAATTTTAACTATACTGAATCAAAATTTTAAACAGTAATTTGTTAACAAAAAGGTTAAATATGCATTTACGAAGAGGAAAAAAAGTCACCTTTCTTTTATACTGCAGTACTACAAAACTGAGATATCAAAAGCAAAACCTCTAAACCTGGTTCTACACTGACTTTCTGCAAGGCTCTGTACATTTATACCTTACAATAAAGCATGCTATAGAGATCCAGAAGTTTGCACCAGTCTGAATGGATACAGTACATTGTAAAGAGGTTCAAAAGCAGAAAAACTGTATTAGCATAGCACTTTACCCAATATAATAATCCCTGCTGAGAGGTGCAGTATGGCAAGTAACACAAACACGCTACTTCTAGACCCAAAGCAGATCTCACATTGCCTAGTAACTGAGTACAACAGTAGCTGCTAGTACAATCTCACATGTAGATACTGTTAATTTAAACCACACTGATATATATGCCCATTTTAATAACCTTGGTTAAATCTGGCTTGTATCAAAGGTACCCTGTTGGAACAGGCTCGTGAAACAAGATTATATCAAAGCCTCTAGACTAGTGGTAGGAAAAAGTATCAGGGATCAACCATACAAGCTACTGTACTTCCACAAGCAAACTATTTTCTGCTTTTAAGACTTTAAAACTTAGAAAATTCTGTTTTCTCTGACAGTGAAAGAAAATTAGCCAT